GATAGATAGATAGATAGATGATTGATAGATAAATGATAGATTAGATAGATAGATAGATAGATAGATAGATAGATAGATAGATAGATAGATAGATAGATAGAGAGAGAGAGAGAGATAGACAGATGTATATTTAACCTATGATATCAGCATTTTGGAAGTGAAATAACCATCTATTAAACTTTAATAAGAGAACATAACAGGCAATATGTTTTCCATTTGGACATTTCATACTTAATTTGTTCCTCTGCTCCTCTGCCTTGTCTCTCAAAATGTGCACTAAGTAAGGCTCTGGCTGCAGTAATGGATGCCTTTGTTTGAATTTAAAACTGTGTTATAGTCTTCTAGGGAAACTTCACTTTAAACCTTAAATTCAAAAGTAGAATGGATAGCTGACCTGCTGTTGTAGACAATCAGCAAGCAGATGGAAGATAGTTCTAGAAAACATGAAAAAGTTTCAGCAGTACCAAGCAAAGGCCAGTCCTTCACAAATTTGGCCTTTTGAAATTAAAAATGTTTCTAAAGCACAGAGGAAATAAGCAGTGCTTTTCTTCAGCTAAAGTTTTTAGTACCTCAAGTTTACAAATATATTGTTTTAATTTTACTTTTATTTTCATTACAGAATACATTCTTTCCCAAATCTAAATCTTCCATCAAAACTCAGAGGTGTTGTATAATACATTAAAACTATGTAATGGTAGCATGATCTCCCTCTGGTGGAGTTCTAGCATCTTCTGTTTATGTTTGTCTGTATAGGAGCATGTTCTTGAAATAGAAGAGGAGAATGTTATTGTGCTATTTGGTACCTAGTACACAAGTATCTAACTGCTTCAGACAAAACAAAAGGTATGGATTTAAGATGACAACCTATATTTGAAATACGTAATAAAGCACTTACCTTATAATTGTGCTATGTAGGTGTGATGCTGTAAAAAGAAGTACTGTATCATATCATTTAATTTTTACAAAGCCTTCTTTAAGGAAGACATAATTCAAACACGGAATATTTGTCATTTCGCCACACATATGTTAAGTTTATCACTATGAAGTTTACATGTTAGAACTCGAAGTCTAGGGATGTTTCACTTCCAAGATATATATGCTCTCCATCTTAGACAAACCAGCGAGGTGAACTAGCTCACTCTGGGCCATTGTGTTAAGTGGTACTCTACACCAGACTCAATCTGGTGCTGAAAGCGTGTCAGGCAAACCAGTCAATAAATATCCTTTCAGGCTTATAACATACAAGATTATCTTTTAATTTCCAGAGGGTACAAAAAATCAAGTTCAAGCTAGAGTTTGGACAGACAAGTAAAGATGTATGAAAAAACAAAAGAGTTCATGTTTATGTTGAATATATGCAAAACACAAACTTCAACTTTGAAAGTTCTAAGGAGAAAGACTTCAAAGAAGGACTTATTGAGCAAGCTTCATCTTCCTCTGTAGTTAAATACCTATCTTATTTTAACACAAATGTATATGCTGACACATTTAGACAGCACTCAGAGGAGTGAAACTTATCCCCTTCACTCTTCTTTCTTTTAGGTCCATTTTAGGTCCAGGAATAGCAAATATATCCCACAGAGGCCACGTCTTCCTCTATAGCCCACAGAGAAATCTTCCTAAATCTGCCCCTGCAGTAGCATCCACCAAGGCTGATCAGCACTGGCAGGCCAGGTGTAACGGGGAGTGTAAGTACCCTGATCAGACAAGGCTACACCCCAAAGTTCAGCAGACAGCTTGGTTCACAAAAGGTGTCTAATAAAAATGAGCTTATACAGTTAGTCACAAAGTCAAAAATTGTGCTGTTGGCTAGGTAGGAATCTTCTCTTACTACGTTTTGCTGCTGTCCAGGCCCAGGAGGGCCACTCCCGGGGTAGGCTTGCCAAGAGTTCAAGGGAACCAGCCAGGGGCAGCCACTACTGAAGACTGACAAGGCATAAAGAAGTAGGAGCCTTCTGAGTGGAGAGGGCAGGCCTGAAACCAAGAGCAAAACTAACACCTGAAGAGCAACTTAAGCTGCCTGAACTCTGAGGGAAGGGACTTCTCCCTCTACGGGAGCTCCATTGATTTATAAAAAGCAACCTGCTAGTGTGTAGACAAAGAGCAACAACAGAATAAGTACCATGTACCTTCTATCCAGGTCAAGAAATAGAACATCAATGTTCCCAGAAGCCATTGTGTGACTGAACGCCCACCCTCTCTGTTCCCCTCAGAGGTGATCACTATCCTCAGGTCCTTTGTAGTCTCATCAGGCTTTGTTTTTGTTTCTGTTTTGTCTTTATGACCAAAGTGTCTCTCTGCTTGAACATTTACAATGGAATATTATATGTGCTTTTGTAACTCGCCTTTGTTCAAGTTTATATGAGAGCGTCCATGCCCATGGGTGTTCTGAAGTTGATTCTTTTTCCCCACAGTGTAGTATTTTCCTACAGAAGCATTCCATACTTATCTATGCATCATACTGTCTATAAGCATTTAGAGTTACTGGTGTTGTCCTATTAGGAGCAAGATGCTTATTAGCATTCTGGCAGCTGCTGCCTCTTAGTGTGTAGGCAACTTCTACCTACTGAAAGAATGGCTACTTCATCATTAGGACTCTACTATGCAATGCAATCTGTTCCTCAACAGAGCTGGTACAGTTTCACACTCAACCTCTCTACACCTTTGGAAGCTTCCTTATGATCAGTCTTTCTATGAGCTTCATAGACTTGCTCTATGATATTAAATAGCATTTGTTTCTTTATTTTGTCCATTTCTTCTATTGAATCGCTTTTTTTTCCTGATTAATTAGTGGAGGTTCTTCCTCTATTCAGGATACTAATTTCTTGTTAGCTAGCCCGAGTTCTGAAAACATTTTTCTCAGTTACTGGCTTCTTCTGTTGCTCTCATGATAATGTCTATTGATGTCTCTAAGTGAGATGATGTTGGTTGTTTGGGCAGAGGGGAGAGAGAGCTTACTAGGGAACACCAGAAGCTTTGGGTAAGGATAGTTACAACAGCAAGATATTGTGGAGAAAAGAGTCTATTCTGACACAAGATTAGAAAAAGCTGAGGTGGTCAGAATTTAAATAGAAGTTACAGTGACACCAAATTATAGCCAGACTTTCTCTTCTAAAAGCCAGATCCTACTATTTTTCTTTGAATGTAGTGTTTGCTAACATTTTTCAAGTTCACTATATGAGGTATGTGCAGCATATTTTTTAGGAAATAAAACTATGTCTCTTGACTCCCCAAAACCATAAACAAAGAAACATTTTTTTCTTCATAAGCACTCTGTATCAGAAATTCTGTTATAGTAACAAAGCTAGCTAATATACAGAGACATCCAACTCAATCTCCTTCAATCTCATTACGTGTTGTTAATCTCATTCTGAAGGTTAGTTTTCCATTAACTTTTTATATTCATCCCACTGACCTGCCTCACATTGACCTTTTGCCTAGCATGCTTTGCCTTTCCTAGGGCACCACCATGTATAATAGGGCACCACCATGTGCAATAGTTGAAATCAACAGTACATAGTCTTTATAGATTCCATCTTTGTATCAACCTTCCTTTTTTATTTTATTTTATTTATTTATTTATTTATTTATTTGTCTTTTTGAGTCAGCGTCTCCCTATAACCCCAGCTGGCCTGGAACTCACTATGTAGACCATGCTGGCCTCAGCCTCACAGAGATCTGCCTACCTCTACCTCCTAAATGCTGAAATTAAAAGTATGTGCTACCACCAGCTCGGGCTTGGGCTCACCTACCAGAGCCCCCTCCCCCAGCTGAGCTACTGTAGGGCTCCTCTCCCACCCTCCTCCCAGCAGCTCCGCAGCCCCGGGGCAGTTCTGCTGCCGGCCTCCCCCAGCTCCGCCCTGCCTGAGCCCCCCAGCCATGAACCTCTTCTGATTCCTGGGAGACCTCTCCCACCTCCTAGCCATCATCTTGCTACTGCTCAAAATCTGGAAGTCCCGATCATGTCTGGGGATTTCAGGGAAGAGCCAGGTTCTGTTTGCCGTAGTGTTCACTGCCCACTGCTTGGACCTGTTCACCAACTACATCTCACTCTACATGTAACACCTGCATGAAGGTAGTCTACATAGCTTGTTCCTTTACCACTGTGTGGATGATCTACAGCAAGTTCAAAGCTACTTATGATGGTAACCATGACACGTTCCGGGTGGAGTTCCTTGTTGTTCCCACAGCCATTCTGGCATTCCTGGTCAATCATGATTTCACCCCTCTGGAGATCCTCTGGACCTTCTCCATCTACCTGGAGTCAGTGGCCATCTTGCCACAGCTGTTTATGGTGAGCAAGACAGGCAAGGCGGAGACCATCACCAGCCACTACTTGTTTGCACTTGGTGTCTACCGTACACTCTCTCTCTTCGACTGGATCTGGCACCACCACTTCGAAGGTTTCTTCGACTTCATTGCCATCGTGGCCGGCCTTGTCCAGACAGTTCTCTACTGCGATTTCTTCTACCTCTATATCACCAAAGCCCTAAAGGGGAAGAAGCTAAGCTTGCCAGCATAGCCCTGGCCTTATCAGCCTTCTCTGAGGCAGGGCAGGAGGCAGAGGAGGGCTGCCCAAGACCAAGAGCCTTCCCATCCAGGGATGACTTTTTAAAGAGCCCACCCCTCCCCGCTCCCCACTCCCTCCTGTTGGGTTTCGGGGGCGGTGGAGGACCCATATTTTGGGGAGCTCAGGACCTGAGCTGTTTGTAGCTTTTTGCCTTTCAAAGAATAAAACAAATCTTTCCACTATTTAGTCTTTGATTCTGAGGACTTTTTTCTCTTCTACTTTGGCCCTGATTTTTATAAAATGTATTTCAAGTGTCCTCTGGATCAGGGCCAGCCAGAGGTCTTCTCCCTTCTCCAAGCCCCTCAGCTCCTTCCCAGATCTCACGCAAGCCCCATGGTTGCCAAACACTATGTCTGCTGATGCCTGCCTACCCAGCTTTGATCACACCTTCCCTCCACCCAGGTTCCTGGATTGGGGGGTGGTAGGTGGAAAGATTAATTAGGATCTCCCTGAGTTTTCATAATTTCCTCTGGAATTTGTTGGCTTTGGGGGATGGTGGGTTGTCCTGGTTTTTGACAAATTATGGGAAGCTATGGGCTGGGGCTTGGGAAGGAGGCTGGCCTGAAGATCACCATGCTCTAACATCATGTTTTTGCACAAAATTTGATGGTTGATTCTTTGTTCTCTTGAAATAAACAAAGGAAAATTTAAAAAAAATATAGGTGCTACCATACCTGGTTTTGTATCATCTCTTCAATCTGCTCACCCACTGAAGGACATTTCATTGGCCCCAAGTTCTAAAAATAAAGTTGCTTTATGCTATTTTGTTTTGTCTGTTTTCAACTTACTTGAATAAATTTCAAGGTGTACAGCTGCTAGATTGTATGATAAGAGTATTTATTTTTGTAAGTAATTGCAAAATGACTTTCAAAGAGGCCGAGCCCTCTTCTCTTCCCTACAGCAGTGAATGTGAGCTGATGCATCCTCTGCTGAATGATGTCCTTGGTTTTCTTTACAGCCATTCTAAGGCCAACCTCCCACCACTCACCCATTGTTTATGTCTAGGAACTTTTTTTTTTCATAATTAATTGTATTCTCTAACTGTAAGCTTTGCTAAACTCTTTACCAGAGAGTTGTTAGCAAATTTTATAACCTCATAAATTTATGTGGGAAAGCAAAAAGTAAATAATAATCAAGATAATTTTGTGAAAAAAGAATCACTTCACTGGACATGGTGGTACACACCTTTAATCCCAGCACTTAGGAGGCAGAGGCAGGTACATCTCTGTGAGTTCAAGGGCAGCCTGGTCTACATAGTGAGTTCCAGGCCAGCTGAGGCTACAGGGAGACCCTGTCTCA